CAAGCAATCATGTGAGGGATCTTTATATACCGAGCCTCAGGACTGTTTGAAATTTGAAGCTCTGGATGGATTCTGAGGCTGATCTTTCTCCCCTTAGCCTGGAGATGATTTAGCTGGGTCAGCCACACCCCCTTATCACTCCGGGTCTTTTCTAGTTCAGGCCCATTCCCGTGGGCTAGAATGTAAATGAACTAACTTCTGGGACAGAGGAGTGGGGTATACTGTGATCATATTCCACTGCTGGCTTCACTGCTTTGCTTTCCAAATATGAATGGGTTAAATCTCATGATAAATGGGGCACTAGATGAATGAAAAAAGATATAACACTTGGGTGAGAGAGTGACTCAGATCAAGTCTGGTCTTAACTATGAACAAAACACACCTCTGTGTCTTAGATTCAGAAAGCACTGCCTCTTCCTTCCACTTTTTTCTATTGGTAAATTTAATTTTCAGAAAAATGAATATGAATGCTTCATTACACTAGTGATAATGATTACAAGATCCCTAAAAAGGTAGAAGCATCTGATAGTAAGGAATAGGAAGGGATGGGGAATAAGGTACAGGAATCTGGTTATTAATTACACCTTGTCCTTCGGTAGCACTTTTCTATTTTTGAAAGTACCTTCACAAACATTAACCTGTTTGATCTTCACGAGAAGACAGGGGAATTAGTTCCTCATAAAGAAGTGAAGAAACTGAGGCACTGAAAAGTTAAGTCACTTTTCACAAGCTTATACAGAGAGTGATAAAACTAGTATTAAAGACCAGGTATCTGGGCTCCTGCTTGTGCTGTGCAGAGATAACTGTGAAATATGTCAGCTGCACAAATGCCCCAAGAAGTGGTCACTGGATGGTCCCACAGAGCTAACTTGTTGCTCTATGTAAAAAGGGGAACCAGATCAGCAGATGGTGAGTTCTGCTAAAGGTAAATAAATACGGCATCTTAAATACTTACAAGCCATAAAGTAACTCCAAAATGCTACATACTCTCACTTGAAAAGATAAGGTGAAGCTGGGGGGGGGGGGGAACGGGCTTTTCCAGTTAGCCAAAGGATAGAGAAAAGCAGGATAAAAACAGAATCCAGAATGAGAACTGTTGTAATGAGGAGAGAAGTTAAAAGCTACCAAGAGAGCCCAAGAGCTAGAGAAAGGAGTAGAAGGAAAACAAGATTCTTGTGGAAAAGCCTGGGGGAGCACTGACCATGCTACTGGGCAAATGGCTGTTCAGAGAAGAGTTGTGACCAAAAACCAGGCTAAAGGACATTTCTCAGCCTTGGAAGAGAGGGTAGTAAAGAAGAGTTGAGAAACACATGCTCCTAATCTCAAGAGGAACAACAGGAAAAGCATACATGGGACTATACAGGACATTTAACCTGTACCAAGCTGTGAGTGATGTCAGACTGTAATTTACCTCAATCACATACTCTGTACCTTGAAATTCCATCACACCTAAGTTCGACAGTTCAATAACTACCTGCAAATAAACCAGGAAAAGTACTTCGGGAGAAGAGAAAGGAAGGAAAGTCTGCTCAGGCTTATCACAGAACTGCAGAGGCAGAAGGGAACTTGGAGATCAACAAGTTCAATCTTTCCCTGAAAAGGAATCCCATTTACAATCCTTGAAAAGAGGTCATCCAGGTTCTGACAGTATGGGGGGATTTACCATGTTATAAAACAGCTCATTACACTTCTGGGTAGTTCTACTTGTTAGGGAATTTTCTCTCATACTGATGTGAAATCTGTCTCCATAGTTTGCACCCATTTTTCCTAGTTCAGTCTCCTAGGGCAAAGAAGAATTAGTTTAATTTCTCTTTCATGTGAGAGCCCCTCAAATACTCTAGAACAGGTGTCCTATCCCTCTGAGTCTTTTCTTCTCCAGGCTGAACATTCCCAGTTGCTTAGCCAATCCCCATATAGCACCGTTCCCAATTTTTCCCACCCTGAACATTCTCCTCTAGGTGCAATCAAGTCAATCCAGTCCTTAGAATGTAATGTTCAGAAGTAAATACAGTGCCCAGATGTGGAATGGCCAGGGCATTTTGTTACCTTTATCATTTTTAATACCATTTATCCATTAATGCAACCTAAGCTCACAATAGCATTTTTGACTACCATATGACTCCTCTTGGGTTTGCAAGTCTACTAATATTTCCAAATCTTTTTCACACAAACTACTGTCAAACCACGTCTCTTCCCTATGTACCCTTGCACAGATGACTTTTTGAACCCAAGCATAGGGGGAGCTATCCAAAGACACAAATACAGAGGAACAGAGAATTCATCAACCTGTTTAGATTTTTAAAAGATACGTACAGAAAAGAAAATGAAAGAAAGGAGAGAACTGTTGCTCTGGGTGGACAAGTCAATAATAATGGAAGACAGAAAGCAGAATTACCTTTATAGGGTAGCTGTATCAAACTGGATTTTATTTGTAAAGCACTTTGTAAACCTCAAAGTACTAGACATATGTCATTATTATTACTCAACTCATTTTATTTCTGCTTTCTCTGTCAAGGAGAATGATCTTTGGATTAGGATAGAACAAAACTGGTTAATAGGGTTGAAGGGAAGTGATATCATTAAAAGTGAGTAGGTCTTCATCAAGAACAAGTCTTCTCACATGTAGCTAATTTCTCTTTTTTTTTTTTTTATAGGATTACTGACTGTAATCAAGGGAATCCTGTAAATGTAGTTTACTTAGGTTTCAGGGCAGCATTTGGAAAAGTCCATAATGGGCTTAGATTCTTAAAATCTAGCCACTGCTCAGATTCTTATAATCTAGCCAATAGCTTGCTAATGTTCAGACTCCTTAAGAGTATGCCCAATATGACTGATGTTCTTTTCAGTCTTTGGCTGAAAAAAAGAAAAAAGTCCCTAATGTCATCATTGCGGACAAGATGGAGAGATATGGATTTGATGGTAGTAAGTTTGGTAGATTCAGAACTGGTTGAATTACAGGACCCCCAAAGTAGTGGTTAATGGCTTAATGTTAACTTGGAGGGAGGACTCTACTGGAAAGCCCTAGGGATCTGTCCCTGCCCTTGTGCTAGTCAACATTTTTATCAATGACTTGGATAAAGATAGATGGCATGCTTATCAAATTATCAGATGACACAAAACTGGGAAATCAGGATTCAAAAATATTTTGCTAGAGCTCTTTTTGTGGTGGTGAAAAACTGGAAACTAAAGGGGTGCTCATCAGTTGGGGAATGGCCCAGTAAATAATAGCATATGAATGTAATGGAATGCTATTGTACTTTAAGAACTAATAAAAGGGATGGTTTCCACAGAAAACCTGGGTGAAGTAATGCAGAAGGAAGAGACCAGATCCAGAAGTACAATTTATACTGTAACACCAACACTGTGAAAATGAACAACTTGGAAATACTTAAGAACTGTGATCAATGCAACGTTCAATCATAACTCTAGAGGATCAATGATGAAGAATGATGCTTACTTCCTGACAGGGAGATGATGGACCAAATAGGAAGAATGAGACACCTATTTTTTTGGATGTGGCCAATGTGGAAATGTTTTATTTGACCATGCACACTTACTGCAAGTTGTTTTTCTTTTTTGGAGGGTAGAGTGGGGTGGAGTGGGAGGAAAAAAATAAATGCTTGAATAATGAAAAAATCAATTAAAAAGTCTTGCTAGGCTAGAACAAGGGTTTTATATCAGATATAAAATATGACAGGGACAGATTTGTTGGAACACGTTCTTGCACTTGACTTAAAAAAATCAACTTCACAAGTACAAGACAGAATAGTTATGTCTAGATAACAGTTTAGGGGGAAAAAAGTAAAGTCCACAGCTTGGCATTTAAAGCCCTTCACCATTTGGCTCTAGTCTCCCTTTTCCAGGCTTATTTCACATTGCTGCCCTTTTATGCACTCTACGTTCTAGCCAAACTGTCCAACTTCTTGTTCCCCAAACTTCCCCGTTTTCTTGTCCATACCTTTGCACATGCCTATTCTTGGAATGCACTCCCTTCTCCCCCCCCCCCAACCTCTTAGAATGTCAAGCCTTGCCCAAGGTTCAGTATTATCTCAACTGGAAGCATTTCCTGATCTCACTAGTTATTAGTGCCGTCTATCCTCTTCCTCCACAAAATATGGCGTATAGACCCACTCCCAAAAGAAAGTGAGCTCCATGAGGGCAAGGACTGGATTTTGTTTTGTTTTTGTCTTCCACAAGAAATGCCTTCCAGATAGTTGCTGTTAAATGCTTGATACACTGGATTGAAGATTTTGGGAATATTTAACACGAAGACCAGGAAACTTAGTGGAGGAGAAATCTGATAGCTTGTCTTAAGACCTATTATGTGGAAGAGGGATTAGATTTGTCAGAAACAAGTTGATTTCTCACTCCAGAAGGCAGAATTAGGAATAACGGACAAAAATTATGTAGAGGCAGATTTTGGCTTACTGAGAGGCAATGCGGAGTAGTGAACACAGTGCTGGATGTGCAGTTAGGGGGACCACCGCTTTGAGTTTCACCTCTAAAACTAGACGCCTGATCAGGGCCAAGTCACTTAATGTCCTTGAGCCTCAGTTTCTTTATCTGTAGCATCCACCGTGGTTTTTTTTTTAAAGATCAAAGTAGATAACATATGCCAAATATCTTCCTGAGTTGGACATTACTGAACAACAACAAAAAGCTCTATAAAAATGGTGCTTGTTGTTACTACTACGTAAGAGAAAATTTCCTAACAGATTCATTTAAAGATAAGAGTGGGCTGACTGGGGAGATTGTGGATCCTCCCTCCCTAGGTGCCTTCAAGCAAAGACTGGATGACCATTTGTTGGGGATCTATGGGGGATTCTGACCCGGAAGGGATGAGGCAGATGACGCGGGATCCTCCCGTGGGAAGCCATTCGCGTTTCTCCGGCAGGCGTGGCTGACGGGCGCTCCTGACAAGCACCCACAACGCCAACCACACAGCGCATCTCTCTCAGCACCTCAAGGCGAGGCTGAAAGCCCCGCCCCCCAGGACGCACCTGGCCGAGGCCTGGTGCTGCTTATTCTTCCGCGAGGACGTCGTGCTGGTCGGCTGCTGCCTCATCACGTGGGCCACGCCCACGTTCAAGGGCTGGGCCGCTGGCAGAGTCACGTGTCCAGTCAAAAGCGCTGGCTGCTGCATGATGGGGTTGTAGTGGCTGCCGTGAGCATGCGTGTTCCTGTGGGAGTGGAGAGAAAGCAGCTACATTTTATTTCTTTGAATCAAAGCTCCTTATGAAATAAAGCATTATCTCACTGTTAAAGGTACAACACTCGGCACTGGTTACCGCCATGTGTTCTATGCAGTTTTCTAGTAAATTAGCTTGGTGCTCACTCGATGGAGATGACGTCATCCTCACCTAAAGCCCAGCGCCGAGGCCGCCTGGAGAGCCGCTCCGCGGGAGGGGCCGGGAGGGGAGGCCTCACCAAGTCCTTTCTGTGGATTGGGCACTGGCCCAGCTCTCGGAAGAGCTTACACTACGGGCCAGGTAGGTTAAACACACCACACCAACCGCAAAAGAACCCTAAGGCATAAACAGATGGAGCTGCTTCCCAGGCCTGGCCGTTTGCCGACTCTGACTTGGTCACCACTCAGGTGCAGGCCCTCACCACCTTGGCTTGCTGGCGGGGCTTCCTGGGTCAAGTGGCTCCTCGCTTCAGTCCATCCACTATTCTATCACAAAAGTGATTTTCCCAAAGTGCAAGTGGGACCGTGTCATTCCACTCCACAGTAAACCCCAGGGGCTTTTTATCGCTTCCAGGATTAAGTACAAAATCCTCTGCTTGATGTTCAGAGCCCCTTCATAGCCTCCCCTCCCCTCCTACCTTTCTCACACCTTACTCCCCCAGACATCGACTGACACTAGCCTCCTGGCTGCCGCACAAACAAGACAGTCCCTTTCTTGGTGCTGGTTGTTTTCTCTGGCTGCCCTTCATTCCTGGAGACTCTCCCTCCTCCCCTTGGACTACTGACTTCCCTGGCTTCCTTTCAGTTCCAAACTAAAATCCCCCCTTCTGCAGGAAGCCTTCCCCATCTCTCTTAATGCCAGTGCTTTCCCTCTTTAAATTATTTCCTATTTATCTTGTACAGAGCTTGTTTTGAATGTATTTGTTTGCATCTTGTTTCCCCCAAGAGGCCGTAAGCTCCTTGAGGGCAGACACAGTCTTTTCCTCTTTTTGTATCCTCAGCACTTAGCACAGTGCCAGGCACACAGGAGATGCTTAATAAACATTTAATTGAATGACTGAATGAAAAAGCGATCGGCTTCTTGTTAAGGAGCTGCTGCTTGGAGGGTGAGGGTGAACATAACCAGATGAAGTTAATTATACAAATTTCAAAGAAGAGGTAGATTTTTATGTATTGTTTCAAAGGAGAAAGAGGTCTTTGTTTTGTTAAAAGGGAACTCCAGATTATGTATAGGCTGTGACATCAAATTACTTCTAAGTTTGGTTGGTTTTTTTTCTAATTCTGAGTAAAAGACAACAGTATATGAACAACAAACTATGAAAACTGGTGATAGTAAACTTCTGGAGCTACAAAGTCATTTATATTTCTTAAATGTCTAGCCTTATGACTAGTTTAGTATAGTGATATGCCCAAAGGAGAAACCCAATAAATCTGTTCAGTGGACAAAAAAAAATGAAAACAGCCATGATCAAAGTTTGGTGAAATAACTTAAATTGAAATTAATCTGACATATATTAATGCTGTAAATATCGCTAATTCCTAATCTACAAGCTAATTATGTCCCAACGTTTCATTTTAAAAAGCCATCTGTTTGGACAGAGGAATAACTTCCCCTACAGAAACTATGTTATAATGTTAGTGGCCAGATTCCTAGTCTAGCCACATAAGACTTATTTTTTTAAACCTAAAATGTGTCTAAAAATGCCACACATTTGCAAGATGAAAATAGAACATCTGTTTTCAATACTAGTAATTAAATTATAAAAATAACTGAATATAAAGTATTTTTTGGCTTAAATGATGGTGTTTGAAAACAAGGTTTAATTGGAGTAAGATGAATAGGTAGATGTTTTAATGGAGATACATACTGAGGAGGATTTGGATACTTTCAAGGGCTTTGTGGGGTTGATGGCCTTAGTTCTTTATTTTGTTTTTCACTTTAAAACTTATGGGTTTTCCTTCTCCTTGATATAGATGTATCAGAAACACTATAATAATTATTAGCCATTATTTGGGCTGCTTTTCAGTTCACAAACAATAAAAAAACATACACAAGGTTTTGGTGTTTTTGGTTTTTTTTAAACCTCTCACATTAATTACCAGTTGCAACTTTCTTGAGTTAACCTTTCATGGGCTCATAGGAGAATAGATTTAGAGTTGGAAGTAAAATTAGAGAACATTTAATTCAACTTTCACATTGCAAATGAAGAAACTAAGGGCCAGAGAACTGAAGTGATTTGCCCAATGTCATAGGGCTAAGACAGCAAAGGCTGGCCTCAAACCCAGTCCTCTGACTCTAAATCTGTTTGGCTTACTGCAACTCAAGTGGAACTGACTAAACTATGAATGATAAGAATGGAGAAAAAGGGAGAAGTACCTTGTGTGATGAAAGCCATTAAATAGTAAATATTTAATATAAATGGCATGGCTTTCACATAGCCAAGATATTTTTAGGGGTTTTTTCCAGCTTTATTTCTTCTCTGATATCTACAGTTACTCCCTATGAACAGTAGTCTTTAATAGCATGTGGTTTAATCCTCATCACATATGTATAGTGACACTACATTAACTAATCCAATCCAGGGTTACCACAATCATGGAGGCAGGGTAACTGAGCTATGGGAACAGCAAGGTAGCAGGTGCTGTTGGTAACCTCAATGACGGATTGACCTTTCTCCACACTCTCTGGAGCTACCTAGAAACAACATATAAAAGTTGGGAGAGGCGAAGCTATGCAGTTGAATTTCTTTGCTCAGGCCTTATACCATGGTTGTAAAGCTGATCATGCTGGGAAGGTGAGACAGTAAGAGAACCAGGTGAGCAAAACTTGTTTTGCTTCACACTAGAATATGTTGGGAGACTCTTGTCACCTGGTCTGTTTACCTTCTGTGTCTGTGTCCCTGGGGTGCACCTATTAGCAAAGGGGGGAAAAACAGAAAGGGGGGGAGAAGAGGGAGTGGTATGTTGGGGTTTAGAACCCAGTGCACAAGACTCTTTTAAAAAATCATTGGCAGGATCGCCTTCTGCCCTGGACTCTACAAATATAGTCACCCCTGTATTCACAGGTGCACAGGTATTTATGTTGTAACTTCTTTGGTTATGCAATACTTCTATAAAGACAATGGATGGAAAATCCATTTCTATGTATACAATAAGTAGAACTAAAAGAATATATTTTAAAAGACTACAAGAATAAATAGCAGCATGGGGTAACATGAAGATATTAACTATATTTGACTTGCTTATTATTCCAAGGCAGAGATAACTAAAAGTAGAAAAAAAGGCAAAGTCAACAGATTTAGATAGTAATTGAGGAGTTTAGGGAACTATAGCTTAAGAAAATTAGAGGGGAAAGATAATTTTTGGAAAAAAAAATGAAGGCTGTGGGCTTTACTCAGCAGGAGGCAGTGCAGCCTTTGACTTAAAGGGGCCCAGCTAAGAAGGCTCCTCACTAAGACTTTGAGTTGATTCTAGAAATGCCACATTGTCAATTCTTCTGTTGGATTAAGCATTGGCCTACTGAAAAATCCTCTTAGAAAATGCAAATGTTTTCAGGAGGGATAACACATTAAGTTCTTTTACTAGGTGAAAGAAATTATTATTTTCTATTACATCAATAGCCCATTATTAATTAGGAACCAGGCTTTTTATTCAGAGATTGGCCCTTGTACGTCAGTCAGCCAGTCTCTGAAGGGCACTGCTGATAGATGAGATTGCCCAAATCCTTTATGAACATGCTCCAGTCTCTCTCTCTCTCTCTCTCTCTCGCTCTCTCTCTCTCTCAACTAGGAGATCCTACTTTTTTTAGAGTGTAAACAGCATCTATTCTAAGTGAATTCCAGTCCCAAAACATTAAGCCCATATCCCTGTACCCCTCCATTGCATTAATCTACTAAATTAAGTATACAGCCTGCCAAGGTGACTACTTTGATGGATTGCACTAAACTGAATGTTAGAGTAGGCTGGCAAAAAAAAAAATTTGAAAATTAAAAAACTGTCTCATCATGCAATATTTTGTGCCTCTGCTTAATAAGGTACTTTGCAAATAGCAAATTCATGCATAGAAAAGCTTAGCAGACATACACCCCCTTAATATGCTTAATCCTTAACATTAAGAATTGCCTCCTTACCTCCAGTCTGCCAACTGCTGGGTCCCTGCCATAGTCTCAGGAATTACAGTTGCATGCTGCACTGAGGTATGTGTGGCCACTCCAGTCAATTGCTGCCATGCTGGGGGAAGCAGAATTTGCTGGGTCCCACTTGGCCAGGCCTGCTATAGAACAAAAAGGATGTTCAATTATTACCTGTCTCCATCAGCTGACAACTACTGGTCTGAGTCCTAAAGGGGCTTATTATCTAGTTGGGGGTGATGAAACTAATATATACCATGAAGAACTACATCCTGAAATCCTCAGTATTGTGAGAATTTGAAAAAAGGGGACAGATCAGTATGGCCTATTATAGGTAAGGAAGGCTTTGTGGAGGAGGAATAATTTGAACTGGGCTTTTACAAAAAGAGTAACGTTTGGATAATAATTGTAGCTAGCATTTATGTAGCACTTTAAGATTTGGAAAGCACTTCGAATATGTAATCTCATTTGATTCTGACAATAACCCTATCAGGTTAGTGCTATTATCATTATTGTATAGATAAGAAACTGAGGCAGTTTAAGTGACTTGCCTAGGGTAAGCTAGCTAGTAAATGTCTAAGGCAGGATTCAGACTCAGAGCTTCCTGATTCCCAAGTCCCACAATCTATTCATTGCACCACCTATCTGCCTAGGATAGAGAAAGGCAAAGACATTTCATGTAGCCAAAGCAGAATGGGCTTGGAGTAGGAACGATGACAGCAGACACAGATGACAGAGAAGAATTTTACTTGATTAGAGAAGAAAACTAGTTTACTGGGAAATAAATTTGGATGGACTGGTAATTTAGACCTAGATTTTGGTAGATCTTAAAAATTGGGCATGAGAAATTGGGCTATATGCAGGAGGCAATAAGGAGCCAGTGTAAGCTTTGAAGAGGTAAATTACATGACAACAAAAATCGATATTTTTAGGAAAACTTGTCAGGCAAAACTTACAGTTTGGGAACAGTAAGGGGAGAAAGTATAAGACATTTACAAGAAAAATGACAGGACTTGGTAATCTATATAGAATCACTTTTGTAGGGACCCTTAAAAATGATCTAGTGCATGCAAATTTGTTTTAAGAGATTTGTTTTTCTTTTCTAGTGGGGGGTGGGGTGGAGGTGGGAAGTATGGAAAAAATAGATGCTTGATAATTAAAAATTATCGAGTCCAATCTCCTAACCTGTTAGAAATAACTTGTGAGCACAGAGGTCCAGTGATGTTAAGTGACATGTCTATGTAATTATCCTATAATTAGATCGTGGAAGAGCCAGGACCAGAATTAAGGGTTAACAGTTCTAATCCAATGCTCTTTTTATGAATTCTGTGCTGCTTCCTATGTGGGGCATAAAGAGGACCAAAGAGATAAAGCGGATTCTAAGGTTTCCAATTTGGGAGATTAGAACTGCCATTTATTCATTCACAAATTTTTACTGAGTACCTCCTATATGCGTAATAGCACTGGAGAGCTAATAAAAATGGGGTGGTTAGAAAATGGAATTCAGAAGAGAGATGGAGAGACAGACAGAGACAGATCGCAGAACACACAGAGAATATTGGGGGAAAATACCCATAGGAGTCAGGAAAGGAAATGGGACAATCAGAAGTTGAGAGGAGAATGAGGACCAGTAAAGTGGAATGGCACAAAAGCAAGGAAAAGGAAATAGTTAAGAGAATGAAATGGAAGTAAGAGTATGAGGGCTGAGAATAGCCATTTGAATCCTCAAACAAGGAGATGAATAGAAATGTTTGAAGGAATGGTTTTAGTAAAAGTAGAAAGGAGGTTTCATGACTCCTGGGATTTAGAAAACAGACTGCATGTGGGGCAATAACCAAAGGAAAAGAGATTAGTTAGGGGAGAAGAAAGACGGGAGATTTTGAAATTTTCTGTTAGAATTTTTAGAATTTTTTTCCCAATCTAGATCCATCCTAACATACAATATAGTTACTTGGCATTAAATGTATAGGATTGAGAAGAGAATGCAAAATCATTAAGAACTATAGATTACACTAATGTAGATTAAACAGATAACTATAAAATGACAGTTGAAAAAAGCAAAATATCAATCACAGTAGACATATTTCTAGTGCAGAATATCTTTTTTGTTTATTTTGCTAGGAAATGGGGTTAAGTGACTTGCCCAGGGTCACCCAGCTCGTGTTATGTGTCTGAGGCTGGATTTGAACTCAGGTCCTCCTGACTCCAGGGCTGGTGCTCTATCCACTGCGCCACCTAGCTGTCCCCAGAATATTTTATTTAGAGGCCAGTATAGTTTTAGATTTCTGAAAGTGGCAGCACTGTTCTAGCAGAACAATTTTTTTTGTTTGTCCTTTGTTGTAAGAAAGAATTACAACCAATAGAAGGAACCACAAGAAAGAGAAAACAAAACAGAAGAAAAAAAGGCAAATAGTATGCTTCTATCTGCATTCAAACTCTATAGCTCTTTCTTTGGATGTGGATAGCATTTTCCATCTTGAGACTTTTGGAGATGTCTTAGATCCTGTCCTTGTATTGCTGAGAAGGACTAAGTCTATCAAAGTTAGTCATAGCACAACGTGGCTGTTACTGTATATGACGTTCTCTTGGTTCTGCTCACTTCACTCAGCATCAGTCCATACAAGTCTTTCCGAAGTCCTCTTGCTCATCATTTCTTATAGCACAATAGTATTCCATTACATTCATATACCACATTGTTCAGCCATTCCCCAACTGATGGCCATCCCTTCAATTCCCAATTCTTTGCCACCACAAAAAGAGCTGCTATAAATATTTTTGTACGTGTGGGTCCTTTTCTCATTTTTATGATCTCTTTGAGATACAACCCTAGAAGTGCTATTATTGCTGGGTCAAAGGGTATGCACATTTTTATAGTCCTTTTGGCATAGTTCCAAATTGCTCTCCAAGATGGTTGGATCATTTCACAACTCTACCAACAATGCATTAGTGTGCCAATTTTCCCACATCTTCTCCAACATTTATCATTTTTCCGTTTTATCACGTTGGCCAATCAGATAGGTGTGATGTGGTACCTCAGAGTTGTTTTGATTTGCATTTCTCTAATTGATAGTGATTTAGAGCATTTTTTCATATGACTGTAGATGGCTTTAATTTCTTGTTCTGAGAATTACCTGTTCATATCTTTTGACCATTTATCAAGTGAAGAATGACTTGTATTCTTATAAATTTGGCTTATTTCTCTACATATTTTAGAAATGAGGCCCTTATCAGAGACACTGGTTGTAAAAATGCTTTCCCAGTTTTCTGCTTCCCTCCTAATCTTGGTTGTGTTATCTTTGTGCAAAAATTTTTTCAATTTAATGTAATCAAAATGATCTTGTTTGGTCATAAGTTCTTCTGTTCTCCATAAATCTGACAGGTAAACTATTCCTTGCTTTCCCAATCTGCTTACAGTATCAGCCTTTATATCTAAATCATGAACCCATTTTGACTTTACTTTGGTGTATGGTGTGAGATTTTGGTCTATGCCTAGTTTCTGCCTTACTCTTTTCCAGGTTTCCCAGCACTTTTTGTCAGATAGTGAGTTCTTATCCCAGAAGCTGGGGTCTTTGGGTCTATCAAACAGTAGATTACTATAGTCATTGACTACTGTATCTTGCGTACCTAACCTATTCCACTGATCCACCACTGTGTTTCTTAGCCAGTACCAAGTAGTTGTGATGACTACTGCTTCATAATACAATTTAAGATTTGGAATGGCTAGGCCACCTTCCCCTGCATTTCTTTTCATTAGTTCCCTTGATATTCTGGACCTTTTGTTATTCCAAATGAATCTTGTTATTTTTTCTAGCTGTATAAAATAATTTTTTGGTAGTTGGATTGGTATGGCACTGAATAAGTAAATTAGCTTAGGTAGAATTGTCATTTTTATTATATTAGCTCGGCCTACCCATGAGCAACTGATGTTTTTCCAGTTATTTAGATCTGACTTTATTTGTGTAAAAAGTGTTTTGTAATTGTGTTCATATAGTTCCTGGGTTTGTTTCCATAGGTAGACTCCTAAATATTTTATAATGTCCACAGTAATTTTAAATGGAATTTCTCTTTCTATCTCTTGCTGTTGGGGTTTGTTGGTAATATATAGAAATGCTGATGATTTATGTGGGTTTATTTTATAGCCTAGCAGAACTATTTTTTATTTTATTCTTTCAACTTCTCCCTCCTGTGCCCTTTGCCAGATTTTATTCCAAGGTTTATAAGCATCAAGGGAAAAAAAAAGCCTTAAGTCCTCTTCACTGGTACAATGACATTAGATTTTATAGAATGGGGTTAAAATGAAGTCTTAGGAAAAATGGTGAATAGTTTGAACATGTTCCTTTAAAAGATGTCATTCTAGATCAGAATGTGACTCCTGAAGCACAATCTGATCATTACTAAAAGAATAATGCTGGTTTCTATGATTGAGGTAATGTCCTGGGGTGAAAGCACTTACTGTACTCAAAGAAGGCACATTTATTTGTCAAGCCAATAGGGCCTTTAAACAAGCTCAAAAAAGAAACTTAGAAGAGTGACATTGGGCAAGACTTACGGTCAGCCAGGGAGAGAATGCACTGGCCCGAATTCTCCGTTCTTCACAGTACCTTTCCAGGCCACCATATCCCGAACTGATTCCCAATCTACAATCTCTGAATAACTGTAACACTCCAAAAAGACTTATCCCTCCCCTGAAAAGTTTTATTGGTGCCTTTTGTTCTTATATCACACTTATTTCTACCCAGTGAACCTTTTCTTATAACAAAGATTAACAAAGAAAAGCAGTTCAGCAAAACCAACCAATAAATGGTCTACATCTGACGTAAGCATCATTCCACATCCATAGTCTCATCTCTTTTCTGAGGCCAAGACTGGTCATGTTAAATACACAGCATTCAGTTTTGTTTTTATTATTTTTTCCGTTTATATAGCAGTATTTATTGTGTATATTATTTTCCTGGTTGTGTTTTCTTCACTATGCATCAATGCATATCTTCCCATGTTTAAATTATTTATATTAATGTATCACAATTTTTTAACCATCCCTCATAATATTTGTTTATACCATCACTTCACAATTAGGTGCCGCCTTGGGACACTGTTCTGAAGTGTTTATTTAAATATAACATTTCACAAATCTGTCTTGTTG